TAGAAAAGATATACTCTAAATAAGTTTCAAAGCTCATGTGACATATCCAACCACTCAAAGTATGAATCACCTTGGGCATCTTATTAGCTAATTAAATTTTTTTTATCGATCTGATTCTTTTAGTTATCTGTTTGACATCCTATTTCTGTATCTTAAGACAGCTCTGATCTAGAAGGAAAATTGAATTCCAGCATTTCAGGAGTATAAATTCAAAAATTTCCTGTTATCATATGGTTACCTAGAAGCAATTTGCATTTAATCGATAGTGTCAGCATGACAGACTGAAAGTGCTAAAAAATGTACAATACTGTATAAGTGGTTTTCTGATGCCTCATGAGTCACCTTTATCAATTTGAACTCTCATGTTCTGAAATAACATCATTCCTAATTGCCTACTAAAACAGGACATGAAAAGATTTACCTAGACATTTCCTTGAGGCTAAATATAATGTATATGTATTAAAAATCCTTGAGAGAAATTCATAGTAATGATGATGGATATTTAGTTTAGGTGTACATTATTTTTTTTTAATTTTTCACCTGTCGGCTTATATAGGTTATTTTCAACTCATGGGAGGCCCGTCTCATGAACTCGAGTAGTATTAATTCATTTTTAGGCATCCATTAAAAATGGCTAAATATTACCAACTCATTTTTAACTTGATTCCTTTATTTATTCCTTTCATGTGCTTTTAGCCAATTAGAATACCCTAGGCCATTATCAGTTCAGTTTAATATATTTTCAAAAATGAAACTTTTAAACCCAAGCATAATTCTTCCTCCTCTATTGACCATATAATTAACATATCCATATGATTAACATGATGTACTTACTTAAAAACGAAGTTCTAATGGACCTTTCTACCCAAAGCATGATCTCTGGACAACCAATATTGGCATTATCTGGGAGCATGTCAGAAATGCAGAGTCTCAGACCTGGGTGAGGCAGAATCTGCATTTGAAAAATTTCCACACGTGTTTTCTATGTACATGATGGTTTGAGAATTAGTATTTTAGGACTCAGTCTGGGACTTCACCTAGATGTTCCCTCTCACTTTTTTTAATGTCACCAAGTTTCAGAATTTTTAGCTGAATTAACAGATTCTAGCTACTCAGATCTTGAAGTGAGCACATGGTAATGTAAGTTAGTAATAAAACAGCAAAGTAGCCTCCTCTGTACAAAAGGTGATGTGATAGGTGTCTGAGGATCTGGAGCATATACAAGGTTCTCTCTCTCTCTCTCTCTCTCTTCATTTTTTTTTTTCCAGAGTATTACAGGGTACAAACACTTTGGTTACATAAATTGCCTTTGCACCACCCTAATCAGAGCTATATGCGTGCCCATCCCCTAGACAGTGCACAGGTGTGAATTGACCCATCCCCTTCTCCCCCCTCCCACCTGCCCAACACCCTAGGAATCTTACTTCCATATGTGCACATTAGTGTTGATCATTTAGTACCAATTTAATGGTGAGTACATGTGGTGTTTGTTTTCCAATTCTTGGGATACTTCACTTAGTAGAATGGGCTCCAGCTCCATCCAGGATAATACAACAGGTAGTTCACCGTTGTTATTTATGGCTGAGTAGTACTCCAAATCTATTATGGTCAAAAGGCTTTGGGCCGTTTCTGAGATCTATGCTTACACCCATACCAAATCAACTTTTTACTAAGTTCTACAGGAAATCTTCAGGCTAGTTATTCCTTCTTTTTCTCCTATCTCTAATATCCATTTACCACCCAAAGTACAGGTACCTCTATGAATCTATCCTTTCTTGTATCTTTTTCTCTGTGCTCGTTTGCACTCTTTATTCTCTGCCTCACTTCCTCTGCTTTGTGCCTCCCCACACTCTCTAACTGTGCACTATGAAATCTTTCTTTCAAGACAAGTCTTCTGTCCTATATAATCATACTATTCATACATGGAAAGCACTTTTATCCTCAAGATCACCACCTCTTTTGCACCCTACTCTTTTAGAATTGCTAGTTTCCTTCACAGGGACAATTCCAAAGATACTACTTTTTTTACATTTAAAAAAATCTATTTCCTTGTGGTTTATGCCTGTGGTGGCCATCTATCATTCACCATTTTATTATATTATTTTCTCATTGAAAACTTTGGCTCTAGGTTTATAGTCTTTTCCACACAAGTCGTATTTGCATTCTTAGTAATCTTAGCACTCATGTGGGCTCTCCTACTATTGTCAAAATTTCCATTTTCCTCATCTCCTCAATTCAGCCACCCACTGGCATGCTTATGCTGTAGATGTTGTCATGGCCTGGCATTACTCCATTTCTTAAATAACATATTTTAACAGAATCATCAGTAGTTCTTCATAAGCTTTCCATGAATCCTTAGTAAATTTTCTGCTCAATTTCTCTCAATAGTTATTTCAAGATTTTGTGGGTCTCCTAAACCTTTCCCTACCATTCATAGTAAACTACTTTGCCTCCTACTTTCATTAAAATAATATTTTACAGATTCTGTGTATTTGTACTGATGATCTCTTTCCACCTGCCTTCATAAAAGAGGCTGTGCTTTAACTAGTTGAGGATAATCTTTCTCTGTGTTTTCTCGGTAGCATCACTGTCTATGTACTAAGGAACTTAGTTCCATTCATCTACACATCCATATCTTCAATTTCTCTCTATTTTCTGGGTCTTTATCATTAGCCTTTTAGCTGGCTGCTGTTTTTTTCATCTTTGAGAAAAACTTCCTCTCCTATAAACACACATCTGAATATTTACGGGCCTTATCTTACTTGACCTCTCTGTAGAACTAGACTCTATTAACCTCTTTATCCTTCATGAAATTATTTCTTTCTTCCCTTGGCTGATGATATACCACTGAATACTGATTACCTCTGTTACGCTTTTGACAATTCAGTCCAACTCGATTTTCCTTTAATATTGATATTCTCCATATTCCTTCCCCCTGTTTTTCTTCCCTGGATGTCCTCATTCATTCCCATTCAAATACCATCTATTTTCTAATGACCTCTCCAAATATGCATATTTAGCTCATATTTTTCCTTAAAGCCCAGGCCAATATATCTAATTGCCTAATAGACAACTTTAATTGAACATTTTCCTGAAAACTTAAAATAAACTTCATTACCTCCCCAGACCTCCTTTATTCTTTCTCCTTCATTTCTCTCATCAAGCAGCCTAATCCAAAAGCCTGAACACTAACTAGGTCATCAAGATTTTTTTTCTACTGTTCACAAGTCCACCCTTTGACAAGTTCAATTAATCCTGTTCCCTTAACAGCTCTTGAAACTGTCCAATTCTCTCTATTCCCACCACCACAACACTGATTAAAGCTAATATCATGGCTTACTTCTATTTAAGATGACAATCCCCTAGCTGGTCTTCCCAGCTATTAATGTTGTATTCCTTTAGAAGTTTCCACATCACCTCAGCCAAAGTGAGCTTATTAAAACATAAGTATGATCCTGTTATGTCTCTGTTTATAATCATTTGAGAAAGATAAAAGCAATCGCTTATAGCTATGAGCTGGTTTGGCACTTCAGTTAGGCCTTGTAGTTACTAGATACTGCCTTGGTAGATGCAGCTAGGCTGTGATTTTCTCCTGTCGAATATGAACAGTTGCTAAAAATCCCAATTATAGACAAGGGTACTTCATGGTTGTGATGAATCAAAATAAAAATAAGACCACTTTGTACTGATATCTGAATACAGACAAAAAGAATAGCATTGTCCAAATCACCCCAAATGACCTGATATCCCTCATCTTCATTAATATGACAGATTATGCTTTTTTAATAATGATAGCTTTAGACTCTTTATATTCTTTCTGCCATATAGTTGAATTTTTTAAGTCACCCAATCATAAAATTAACCTCACTTCCTTACAGTATCCAATCAAAATAAAGCCCTGCTTCCTTAATCCCCCCATCATGTAACACAAGCCCAAATCCTATAATAAGCTTTTTCTAATCCTCTTAGAGACACAGGCCATAGTTCCCTATTACATGCCATCTCTCTTGTTGCAGCACGTAAATCTACCTAACTTTGTTAATCTAGAGGTGTGCTCCTGGTGGTCTTTGGCTGCATCCTTATTGCCCTCATGAAGCCTACAATGATCTGATTTCTATTTACTTACCCAAACTGATTTCCAGCCATTGTCCCATTGATTCTATTGTTGGTTTCTGGAAATCAGGGACTAAAATTTAATTGGTTTGGGGTTTTTGCTTATTTGTTTTGTTTTTGTTTTTGGTATCCCAGTGTCTAATACAGTGCCTGGTACATAAGCAAATAAATGTTTGACTATATGAATAATTGCTTTATTTAGCTCTGTAGGAAAATTTTAAGACAGGCTCTGTAACCAATATGAAAGATATAACAACTTCTAAATAAACATTTGAGTGAATAAATTACTTTTCTGTTAAAGGGTAAAACTTCATTACAGAATAAGTGAATAGAATATTAATTATGTGTAAAGTCAGGGTAGGACCATGGGGAATCTAGAACTTTCATATTATTAGAGAAGATGTCATAAAGGGAGGAGGCTTTTAAGAGATGCCAATAAAGAAGGAGCTAGAGAGGTCAGAAAGGGTTTTTAATCAACTTAAGAATTAATGAACCTTCCTTTTTTTATATGTTGCTTAAAATTATTTTACCTTTGTTTATTTTTTCTTTATATCATTATATTATACAACTCAATTGCCTTTAATTTTGCACTTTAAGTTAAACATTTTGAATTCATAATTTCCTCATGATCCCTAAGAATTTTCATGAGGCCGTATTATATTTTATAATTAAGAACAAATTTCTGATGGAATGTTTCACTGATGCCTTTTTAGCTTCTATATTCTTTAATTGAAACTTT